GTTTTTGAGGGGAATGGCCACAGGGGATCCCTGCACTGTCTGCCTGTTCCCTTTCCGTCCCCTGACTGTAACCCATCTACTTTTTTCCTGTACCTGAGGTGTGACTACCTCCCCGTAATTCCTCTCAATTACCCCCTCAGCCTCCCGAATGATCCGAAGTTCATCCAGCTCCAGCTCCAGTTCCCTAACACGGTTTCCGAGGAGCTGGAGTTGGGTGCACTTCCCGCAGATGAAGTCAGTGGGGACACTAGTGGTGACCCTTACCTCCCACATTCTACAGGAGGAGCATACAACTGCCCTAACATCCATTCCCACTGTTCTGAATTCCCAAACAGACAAATTTTAAAAAAAATACTCGTAGTCTTACCAAATCAGCGCTCAGAACCTTTTTTTTGGTTAGAGGAGGAGGATGGGTGGGAGACACTACCTCGGTAGTGTTTCGGGTAAAGCAACCGCCCAAATATATTACCTCACTTACTCCAGAAATGGAGTCACGCGAGGTAAGACTTTTATAATCGAAAAGCTCACCTTCCCAGGCTGCCCTCGCGCTTCCTCCCAGACTCCTGCCGCTGAAACAACTGAAAAGGTTGCAAGGTGATGCATTTTGGAAGATCCAATTCAAGAGCAAACTATACAGTAAATGGAAAAGCCCTGGGGAAAATTGATGCACAGAGAGACCTGGGTGTTCAGGTCCATTGTACCCTGAAGGTGGCAAAGCAGGTGGATAGAGTGGTCAAGAAGGCATACGGCATGCCTTCATTCATCGGATGGGGTATTGAGTACAAGAGTTGGCAGGTCATGTTACAGTTGTATAGGACTTTGGTTCAACCACATTTGGAATACTGCGTATAGTTCTGGTTGCCACATTATCAAAAGGATGTGGATGCTTTGGAGAGGGTGCACAGAAGGTTCACCAGGATGCTGCCTGGTATGGAGGGTGCTCGCTATGAAGAGAGGTTGAGTAGATTAGGATTATTTACATTAGAAAGACAGAGGTTGAGGGGGGACCTGATTGAGGTCTACAAAATCATGAGAGATATAGACAGGGTGGATAGCAAGAAGCTTTTTCCCCAGAGTGGGGGACTCAATTACTCGGGGTCACGATTTCAAGGTGAGAGGGGAAAAGTTTAAGGGAGATATGCGTGGAAAGTTCTTTACACAGAGGGTGGTGGGTGCCTGGAACGCGTTGCCAGAGGTGGTGGTAGAGGCGGGCACAGTGGCGTCATTTAAGATGTATCTAGACAGGTACATGAATGGACAGGGAGCAGAGGGATACAGATCCTTGGAAAATAGGCGACAGGTTTAGATAGAGGATCTTGATCGGTCCAGGCTTGGAGGGCTGAAGGGCCTGTTCCTATGCTGTAATTTTCTTTGTTCTTTGTTCTTACTTCCAATTGGCTTTAATAATCATTAAAATCATTAAAATATCCATCACCAGTGGGATGGTGGTGATGCATTGAAGAGCAGACAAAATTGGAGAGGCTGTGATTCCTCTTCCTTGAACCTCTCTTGGCTTGTTAGCCCCTTTTTTGCCCTGAGCCACCCCTCACCAGGTTGGGTGCACCATGTGCAGTCGTCAGAAGTGGATTCCCTGTCTGGGATTGGGGCCACCTGGTTGGGCCATCACTTAAGAAAGTATCTCAAAAATCCAACAAGAGCTGGAGCTGTTTTTTTTTTTTAGCAGGTCCTTTCATTAACTCGGGTACAGTTCACCCTCATCCACCCTCCCAGTTTACCTTTGTCTGATTCCTTCCCCAGGTTTAAATATTTGGACTCGACTGATCTCATGGCCTTAACTCCTTACAGACTTGTGGCAAAGCGAGTTTCCCAATCCTGCGGTATCGAGGCTCGTGGTCAGTGATTGAAGATATTTTCTCCTGGACTTCTCATTGCACTAAAGAGTCATCGACGTCTTCCAGAACCTTTTTGTGTTCACGTTGCGCTTTGTCTGCTATCTGCCCATGTGGCTAATCGCAGTGGGCACAGATTGCAGCTTTCTACAAGCTGATGTGAATATTTTAGTGCATGTTCTTTTAAGAAGAGAAAAAGAACTTGTGTATAAGGAATAAAATGTTGTCAGTGTTTGTGGCTTTGCTCCAACAGCATGAGCCACCTTCATGAGGGACTGTGTGTGGATTTAAACGGACAAATATTGCTGCCGGGTTTAGAGGGGGAGATGCTGTGGTAAGGGGAGGGGAGGGCAGCCGCAAAATGACACCATTGTGATGGAAATGATGCATTGGAGGAGGACAGGTAAAATCCAACAGGCCACTGGCTTATCTTCTTGCCCCTCTGTTTTTGCCTGTTACCTATTCCAGCAGTACCAAGGCCTGGCTGGGCTGTCGTTAACTTGTGTGTGCTGAGTTTAATAATTCAAAGTGGATTCTAAAGTTTAGAGTCTGCTCTGTGTGGTTGGCAGGACCCCAGGAGTCTATGAATATTGAAGTCACCTTTGAGACCTTCTGCATGCCCACACCCACCCCATCTCCAGGTACAGACTTCTCTAACTTTTTATTCACTTCTTGTGGTGCAAGTTCTATGGGCATTGGAACGGCTTCACCTAGTCATCGTTTACAAGCTAATATTACAGGGCAATTCACCATGGGAGGCATCACAGCCACAATAGCCAGGCCCAGGCTCTACTCGCCCCTACCCCACGCTTCACCTTCATTCCCTTCCCAAACCTTTACTCCCCATGCCCACGTATCATCGCCTCCCCAATCCTCCCCTTCCCAGACCCTTGCTCCTCTCTCTCCCTCCTCCATCCCAATGCCACTCCGATGAATTGTCAGGGTTTCCTCAGGGATTCTGCTCAGTTCAACTCCACCCCATGTTGGGAGGTGTCTGTCCACACTCAGACCTACCTCAAGCCAAACTCATAGACTGACACATCACCAAAAGAGACTATTCGGCTCTCCTGTGTATACAGGCTGTTTAAAAGAGCTTTCTAATTAATCCCATCACTCTGCTGCTGTTTTCCGACAGCACTGCTGTTTTTCTTAATTCACATGTTTATTCAGTTCCTTTTTGAAGGTTCCTATTGAATCTACTTCCATTGCTGTGTCAGGCAATGCATTCTGGTCACATTAACTCCTGCCTGAAATCCTTTCTCCTGGTTCTTATTACCTTAAAATTCTTCGCTCTAGTGACTAACCTCCAGCCTCTAGAAAGTTTCTCCAATTTTATTCTCTGAACCTTCATGATTATGGACATCTTGATCAAATCTCTTAACCATCTCTGCTTGCATTAATCATTGATTATTTATGTATGAACAGCAAGTGCCAGCATGTAGCTGCTTGGGACTGGTAAACTAAAGGTGCTGCCTGTTCCCTGGTGTTGATTCCAGCCGCTCGACCTCCTGCCAGAAGTTGCAGCCTCTGAAATCCCAGGATGCTGTGGGGCTGTTTGAATCAATGTGCCACAATGATGCTGTGATCTCACTGTTACAACATTGTACAATCCTGGTCTGGGAGAGGGGCCTCCTGTATCTGTTACCATCCTCACCTGAAACCCAAACACAGCTAATCCAGCAGAGGGTTTTTTACAGGGCAGATTGCTCTTGGAACCAGTATTTAGAAGCAAGAAGAGAGGTACCATCAGTAAAAATTTGGTGCCAAGATAGTGACTCGGAGACACCTGCCCTGTCACACATTTGAGAATGTAGAGGTAGCTTTATTTTGTATCTAACCCCATGCTGTACCTGGGATTTTAATGTTTTAATGAAGATCTGTAGCTCAGGTTGCGGTTGGAATTGTTGGTTAGTTCGCCAAGCTGACTGGTTTTCATGCAAACGTTTCATCTCCCTTCTAGGTGACATCATCCTTGCTGTGTAGCCTTCATCGAAGCGCTGTTGTTCTGTCCTGCTATGAATTGACGTGGTCCAGTCTGTCATGGTGGGCAGTCTTGTTTCCGGTTTTGTACCGTAGTGGTATGTGGATGGAGTCTATTTCAATATGTCTACTTCAACGCGTTTGTTGAACAGACAATGTCTACATACCACGACGGTACAAAACCAGAAACAAGACTGCCCACCATGGCTAACCAGACCATATAAATTCAGAGCAGGACAGAACGATGTCACCTAGAAGGAGATGAAACATTTGCACACAAACCAGTCAGTTCAACTAACCAACCAACAACTCTGACCTGCGTGTGTTTGATGGGGACAGTTTACTTTCAGCTCAAAAGAGAAGATGAAGTTTGAAGAGAGCACTTTTAGTGCAGTGGTAGAGTCCCTGCCTCTCAGCCAGAAAAGCTGAGTTTAAGACCCATCTGTGCTGGGAATGTGCTACACCATGTTCAAACAGATTGATTCAAAACATTTCCCCAGCAGGCTCTGTTTAACCATTTTGTGATTTTGTTTTATTTAAGAGTAGAGGGATTTTTACTATAATTCTAATCCTGTGCTGTCCCTTCCCTGGATGTGTTTGATGGGACAGTGTCAAGGGAGCTTTACTCTGTATCTAACCCCGTGCTGTTCCTGCCCTGGGAGTGTTTGGTTGAGGCAGTGTGTGCCAATGTAAGTATTAACTTTGACCAGCAATTCATACTGGTCAGTGGTGCTGTGTGGTGGTGTTCCCATTTGAATGAACTCATTTTAAAACTAAATGATCAGCTACTGGGTGCGATGATGTCAGTTGATTTTACAAAGTGACAACTGCTAAATAGAAAAGTTTTATTAAATATTTATAACCAAATTCTTGTATCTTTTTGCTTGCTGACTGATCTCACCATACATATTTAGTCTGAAGACCCATGTGTGTTGGTTTGCAAATCCCAGCTCATGCCCTCAAACATAACAAGTGAGTTAAGAACCAGTCCCAGACTCCTACCTGAGGGAGTCTGGCTGTTGTGGGGTTTGAGAGAGTGTCCGGCTGTGTGAGGGGAGTATGTCAGGGTGTTGCATCTACCCAGGCAAGTGGGAAGCATCCCATCATACTCCTGACTTGTGCCATGTAGGTGATGGACAGGCTTCGGTGATCGGGAAGTGAGTTACTGCCTGCAGGGTTCCTAGCCTCTGATCTCCTGTTGCAGCCACTGTGTTTTTATGATAAGACCAATTGAGTTTCAGGTTGATGGTAAGACCCAGGTCAGTCAGATGATTAACTGCACTGCTGCAGCTCCAGGCCATGAGGACTGTAGCCTCCCATGTACCTGCCTGCAGCTCCTGTTCCTTCCTGTGCATGGCGATGAAGTCTCCTCCAACACCACAGGGTCCTCTCCTGGAGCTGAGCAGGTGCCTGGTCTCCAACAGCCCTCCAAGTGCCAGCAGCCCGGGCATTTCTTTCTCATCCTGCTAAGGAGCTCCCACTGTGAGCTGCTCACCAGCGTTTAGTCACACACACTCAATATCTGAGCCAAGGTAGCCTTGCTGTGCTTCCTCTGAGGCCTCAGGACTGTTCTCAGAGGGCCAGGATGGTCCTGGGTAGCCAGCTGTTGCTTCTCGGCGGTAGTGTCAGCCTCAGCCTTCAATATATTTAAGAAAATAAGATATTAGAGCAGAATTAGGCCATTTGATCATGGCTGATATGTTTCTCAACCCCATTCTCCTCCCTGCTTCTGTAACCTTTGATGCCCTTACTAATCAAGACCTATTCTTGTCTTAAATACACTCAATGACTTGGCCTCCACAGCCCTCTGCAACATTGAGTTCCACAGATTCACCATCCTCAGGCTAAAGAAATTCTTGCACATCCCAGTTCTAAAGGGTCATCCCCTTCACTCTGAGGCTGTGTTCTCAGGTCCTAGTCTTTCCTACAAGCGGAAGCATCTTGTCCTTGTCCACTCTATCCAGGCCTCAGTATTCTGTAAGTTTCAGTCTGATTCCCCCTCTCATCCCTCTAAACTCCATCAAGTACAGACCCAGAGTCCTCAACTGCCCCTCCTATGACAAGCCCCCGGGATCATTCTTGTAAACCTCCAGACCCCCTCCAAGGCCAACACATCTTTCCTTAGATGTGGGGCCCAAAACTGCTTTCAATATTCCAAACACTGTCTAACTGGAGCATTGGGAAACCTTCTGGGGAAGGTGGGACCTGTACCGGAAGGACGGGTTGCACCAGAACTGGAGGGGCACCAATATCCTGGGCAGGAGGTTTGCTAGAGCTCTTTGGGAGGGTTTAAACTAGTTTGGCAGGGGGATGGGAACCGGAGCTACAGATCAGAGGATGGGGTAGCCGGTATACAGACAGATAGAGCAAGCAGAGAATCTGTGAGGAAGGATAAGCAGTTGATAGGGCAAAGTGGCAGTTAGTGTGACGGGTTGAGGTCTACTTCAGTGCAAAAAGTGTCAGGAATAAGGGTGACAAACTTAGGGCATGGATCAGTACTTGGAACTACGACGTTGTGGCCATTACGGAGACTTGGATAACACAGGGGCAGGAATCGTTGTTGGATGTTCCGGGGTATAGATTCAAAAGAAATAGGGAGGGAGGTAAAAGAGGTGGGGGAGTGGCATTGCTAATCAGGGATGGTATCCCAGCTGCAGAAAGGGAGGTCGTGGAGGAGGGTTTGTCCACTCAGTATGGATGGAAGTCAGAAACAGGAAAGGAGCAGTCACTTCATGGGAGTTTTCTATAGACCCCCCCAGTAGCACAGAGACACTGAGGAACAGATTGGGAGACAGATTTTGGAAAGGTGCCAAAGTAATAGGGTTGTTGTCACGGGTAACTTCAACTTCCCTAATATAGACTGGAACCTCCTAAGTGCAAATAGTTTGGAAGGAGCAGATTTTGTCAGGTGTGTCCAGGAAGGATTTCTGACTCAATATGTTAATAGGCCGACTAGAGGGGAGGCCATATTGGATTTGGTGCTTGGCAACGAACCAGGCCAGGTGTCAGATCTCTCAGTGGGAGAGGATTTCGGTGATAGTGATCACAACTCCCTGACCTTTACTACAGTCATGGAGAGGGATAGGAGCAGATGGTATGGAAAAGTATTTAATTGGGGAAGGAGGAATTACAATGCTATTAGGCAAGAACGACGGAGCTCCAACTGGGATCAGATTTTCTCAGGGAAATGCATGACAGAAATGTGGAGATTGGTTAGGGAGCAGTTGCTACAGGTACTGGATAGGTTTGTTCCACTGAGGCAAGGAAAGGATGGTAAAGTGAAGGAATGTTGGATGACAAGACATGTGGAACATCTAGTCAAGAGGAAGAAGGAAGCTTACTTAAGGTTGAGGAAGCAAGGATCGGACAGGGCTCTAGAGGTCTACAAGGTAGCCAGGAAGGAACTGAAGAATGAACTTAGGAGAGCTGGAGAGGGGTATGAGAAACCTTTGGCGGGTAGGATCAAGGAAAACCCCAAGGCGTTCTATACTTGTGAGGAACAAGAGGATGGCCAGAGTGAGGGTAGGGCTAATCAGGGATAGTGGAGGGAACTTGTATGCGGAGTCAGAGGAGGTAAGGGAGGTCTTTAATGAATACTTTGCTTCAGTATCCACCAGTGAGAGGGACCTTGAAGTTTTGTGCGAACAGTGTGAAACGGGCTGATATGCTCGAACAGGTTGATGTTAGGAAGGAGGATGTGCTAGAAATTTTGAAAAACATGAAGATAGATAAGTCCGCTGGGCCAGATGGGATATACCCAATGTTACTATGGGAAGTGAGGGAAGAGATTGCTGCCCCTTTGGCAATGATCTTTGCGTCCTCACTGTCCACTGGAGTAGTACCAGATGATTGGAAGGTGGCAAATATCATTCCCTTGTTCAAGAAAGGGAATAGGGATAATCCTGGGAATTACAGACCAGTCAGTCTTACTTTTGTGGTGGGCAAATTATTGGAGAGGACTCTGAGAGATAGTATTTATAATTATTTGGAAAAGCACAGTTTGATTAGAAATAGTCAGCATGGCTTTGTGAGGGGCAGGTCATGCCTCACGAGCCTTATTGATTTCTTTGAGGATGTGACAAAACACATCGATGAAGGTAGAGCAGTGGATGTGGTGTATATGGATTTCAGCAAGGCATTTGATAAGGCTCCCCATGGTAGGCTCATTCAGAAAGTAAGGAAGCATGGGATTCAGGGAAATTTGGCTGTCTGGATACAAAACTGACTGTCCAAAAGAAGACAGAGGGTGGTAGTAGATGGAAAGTATTCAGCCTGGAGCTCGGTGACAAGTGGTGTTCCGCAGGGATCTGTTCTGGGACTTCTGCTCTTTGTGATCTTTATAAATGACTTGGATGAGGAAGTGGAAGGGTGTGTTAGTAAGTTTGCCAATGACGTGAAGATTGGTGGAGTTGTGGACAGCGTTGAGGGCTGTTGTAGGTTGCAACGGGACATTGACAGGATGCAGAGCTGGGCAAAGAAGTGGCAGATGGAATTCAACTCAGAAAAGTGTGAAATTATTCATTTGGAAGGTCAAATTTGAATGCAGAATACAGAGTTAATGGCAGGATTCTCGGCAGTGTGCAGGAACAGAGGGATCTTGGGGTCCATGTCCATAGATCCCTCAAAGTTGATAGGGTTGTAAAGAAGGCGTATGGTGTGTTGGCTTTCATTGGCAGGGGAATTGCGTTTAAGAGCTGTGAGGTTATGCTGCAGCTCTATAAAACTTGGTTAGACCACATTCGGAATATGGTTTTCAGTTCTGGTCACCTCATTATAGGAAAGATCTTGAAGCTTTAGAGAGGATGCAGAGGAGATTTACTAGGATGCTGCCTGGACTGGAGGGCAGATCTTATGAGGAACGGTTGAGGGAGCTAGGGCTTTTTTCCTTGGAGCAAAGAAGGATGAGAGGTGACTTGATAAAGGTTTACAAGATGAGAGAGGCGTAGATAGAGTGGATAGTCAGAGACTTTTTCCCAGGGCAGAAATGACTATTATGAGGGGACATAATTTTAAGGTGATTGGAGGAAGGTATAGGGGAGATGTCAGAGGTAGGTTCGTCACACAGAGTGGTGGGCATGTGGAATGCGCTGCCAGCAGTGGTAGTGGAGTCAGATACTTTAGAGAATTTTAAGCGACTCTTGGATAGGTACATGGAGAATAGTAAAATGTAGAGTATGCAGGGTAGATTGATCTTAGTAGGATAATAGGTCGGCACAACGTTGCGGGTCAAAGGGCCTGTACTGTGCTGTACTGTTCTATGTTCTATGTTCCATGTTTTTTTATGTTCTATGTTGTACAGCCTCAGCAATACATCTCTCATCTTGTATTCTAGCCCTCTTGAAACGAATGCTAACATTGCATTTGCCTTCCTAACTGCCACTGAACCTGCCTGTTAACCTTCAGAGAATCCTGAACTAAGACTCCCAAGTCTTTTCGTGCTTCAGATTTCCAAAGCCATTTCACATTGAGGAAAAAGTCTATGCCTCTTTTCTTCCTCCCAAAGTGCATATCCTCACTTTCCCACATTATATTGCATCGGCCACTGCCCAGTCTCTTAGCCTGTCCAAGTCCTTCTGCAGCCTCCCTGCTTCCTCACCACTACCAATCCCTCTATCTATCTTCGTGTCAATTGCAAACTTAGGCACAATGCCGTCAATACCTTCATTCAGATTGTTAATGTATAAGATGTGAATATTTGTGGTCCCAACACTGACCCCTCTGGAACTCCACTGGTCATTGGCTGCCATCCTGTAAAAGACCCCATGGTCCCCACTCTCTGCCTTCTGCCAGTCAGCCAATCCTCTATCCATGTCAGTAGCTTGCTGTTTACACCATGGGCTCTTATTTAGCAGCATTCTCTGAGGAAC